GGAAAGAGAACGGGGGAAACGGTAGCCCAGATGGAGTCGGCTTTATTGTCTCCAAAGCCATCTGAAGATGAGTTTGTGCCTTTTTTTTTAATTGATGGATTTGGTGCAGCTGGATTTTCTGAAGTTTGAGGAACAATGCCTTAAGTAAAAAAAAAAAAAAACAAAAAAAAAAAAAAAAACAAAAAAAAAAAAAAAAACAAAAAAAAAAAAAAAAAACCAAAAAAAAAAAACAAACAAAAAAAACCCACAAAGAACACAGCAGTTCGTGAATATTTTTCCTCTGGTTGGAAAAGCCAAAAACTGCCATCAGGAAGGAAGACTTTTTGGCTTGTGCTGGCATGATGGTGGGAAGCAGGCATCAGCTGAACAGAGTCTCCAAAAACTGTCTACAAGTTTGGATTTGTTTTGTTTTCTTTCATTGCTGTTTCAAAAAAAAAAAAAAAAAAAAAAGGAAAAAAAATTAAGGTAGTTGCCAAGAAAGTGGCAAATACTGTTGGGTCTTTGAAATTCAACCATTTTTAAAAACAAGTTTTCAAATGTTTTCTCTCTTCTACATTATCTAGTAATTGAACTTATCAATTTGGTTGTTGAAGCATGTATTAGACACAAACGCAGGTTTAAGACTGGAATGCTTTTTATTAAAAGCAACTAGCATGAGATATTGCTTAAATTGTTAGGTATAAATATATATATATGTGTATAATGTATATTCCAAATGTATTCCAAGCTTAGAAACCGGATTCCTATGAATTATTGATAAAAATATTTATGATGCATTTATAGAAAAATATATGTAATAAATGCATACTATAACAGTAGCCATTGGAAGCTCCCTAGGGACAGATTCATGAATTGGAATGTAAAAGGTGCTTTTGGAAAAGGATCCAGGTTGAAACTTGAGGACTTTCAGACGACAGGTTGGAAAGTTTTTCAGAAAGCCAACACGTTAGCCACTGGGCAACTACCCTAAACATTTGTATTTTAATTTAAGGTTTTTAGTTGTGATCCTTTTCTAACAAGAAAAAAATGAGTTTTTTATAGCAAAGACTATGAATTTGCTGTTAATTTTTATATTGATACTTCACAAAACCCTGAAGAAGCCTTGTTTGTGTGACTCTGACATTTATTTTCTATTTGGCAGGTTTTGTTTCTGAACGGCAATAGCATCTAAACCTTTTTTCCTCCCACTTTTCTTGCTTGTACATTATTTTCCTTTTTTTTTTCTTGGTTTTTTTTTCCTTTTTCTTAAGTCTTTTGTACAGTGAGCAGCTTTCTGCGGGCATAAGGAACTGTGGCAGATTGTCAGAGTTTATTTTTCAGAAAGGGTGCGTCTTATCAAGGAGGAGGGAACGCGATGGGCTCTTTTGTATAATGATACCGCCGACTGTATATTTTCTCAGTTCTGTTATAGTAGCTATGTAAAGAAAATAAGGAGTTTTCTTACCTTCGACGTCGTAGTATTCTAATGGGCGATGTCTTTGTCCTCCGCGCGGATCCTAGCGAGGATTGCAGGCAGCTGCAGTAGCTGCCCACCGTTGGGAAGGCTTGTCGGACACTCGTGGGACAGCTGGCATTTTTCTCTCCGCCGGACAGACGGACACGCAGACACGCACGCACACCTCCCCACATCCTCTTTCTCTCTCACTCTTTCTCTCCTCCTCTTCTTCCCGTCGCTGGTAGGGTTGGAGAGCTTTTCCCGAAGGTATTTTTTCCCCCCGAGGAGGTCGTTGCCCTGTGCCAGCCGGACCTTCAGCCTCGGCTGCCGCCTCCTGCAGACAGCGGGCGGGAGAAGCAGCAGAGCCCTGCCGCGAAGAGTTTGCGCAGCTTAGAGGAGACCAGATTGACACACGTGCCTTCTTACAGCAGTGTAGGATAGCACACACCCCTCGTCCGAACAACCAAGGGTAGCCTTTTTTTTTATTATTATTTTATTCTGTTACAATGATGACTGACAGGGTCGCTTCCGGTAACTTATTTTTTTCCAGTTCTCGAAGCGGCCGTTTTCATTCCATTCAGGACTCGCTTGCGGGAGGAATTTGAAGCATAATCACGCGTGTGAGCAAATCAGGAGGCTTTTGGTTTTTTCCTTGGTTTATAACGCAATTTAAAAACCAGACACTACTGTATTTGAGTTTTGCAAACCCAAGTACGTGTTAGATTTACTAATCGCTATAG